CTCCGGCCATCTTCAGGTGATCAGAATTTCGAACCGATCCCTTTATTTCGTCCATAATGGTAGACTGTTCTAGTTCCACGTGCCATGCCTCTTCCGGAAGTCTCAGTTATTTCCCTTTAACTCAAATCTCCAAGTTTTTGGTTCACCGCTGCTGTCGCCTGGTATTGAACTCACAACTCTTTGGGTCTAGTCACTAGAACTAATCAATCGTCAGTGATTTAAAATTCTGACAACGTTAAGTTCGAGGAAATGTTACCAAATTCAGGAAACATTGCACTTAATCATTAATTACGTTTTGTGGTTATGCAAGAGAGTGTGTGAGTGAACAAGTGAGAACGAAAGGAAACAACATTTTAATAAATGTTATTTTCCTCGTGAAATTGGGCGTGTCATTTAAAAAAGTCTGTCTGACCGCATGTAGCCACGGGCCGCAGTTTGTGTATGACTAGATTAAATACTAAAAAAAGAAGATTAAAGACATCAGAAAAAATATATATGTTAAAGAATATGAAGAAATAAATAAATATATTGATCTTAAATTGAAATTTAAAAAAAGCTGTGTTGCCTTAAGCCTACCCTAATATCTATAAATGGAGCCTTATTTATGACCAAGTAAGATCCAAGCATTTTCGCTATCATATTTTAAATTCATTACACCCCAAACAAGGTGGGAATGCCATTGAAACGCAGGGGTTTACAGAGAGTGATGGTGGGAGAAAAGACTGAGTAAGGAAAACAGGGGAAAGGATAAAAGCTGGACGGGGTTTAAGAAGATAGAAGATGGCCGCTGGCGTTCCATTTAAATTTTTGAAGATTTTAGTTATCAGGGAAGCAAGTAAACGGAAGAGAGTTCCACATGCGGGAAGTGCGAGAAAAGAAACTGTTGGAGTAGAACTGGAGGTCATATTTAACTAATTCAACAGTAAAGATGCCAATCTAGTAGCATGCTTAAACTTACGTAGTTCGGGCACTAGGGAAAAAAAAGCTCGTCAGTTGCCCTGAAAATATTTGTAGAAAAACCAGAAAAAAGCCACGTCACGTATTTGAGAAAGAGACTGAAGCAGTGAGGCCAAGTCAGGATTGATTACATTGCAGATCCTTCTTTGGATCTTGCCAAGAACCCCGAGATGAGTAGCAGGAGCACCAGACCAGATATGGCAACAGTATTTAATGAATGGTAGATTTATAAATGTGCAACATGTATTCTGATGAGAAATATCTTCTGGCATGAAACGGTGACCCAACTTTCCTTGAAGTAGATGCAGTTATTGGAGTTTAAATCAGAATTGGTGCCAACAGAATGCGTGTATTTACTAACTTGCCTTACACTACATTCTTGATTGCCACCAGTTCCAACCTTTAGGACTGAGACCGCCATTCCACTCATATTGTGGCGAACCGCCCTCATTCCCTTTGTATTACATTGGTGAGATGCAAGTGCCACACGAATAGTTTCCTCCCACCAACCGATTCCTAAGACGTTAGAATTTATCTTCCCCAGATATTCCCATAAATCGTGCATGTTATCTCTTATTCTGTAGACCTTCTGCCTCGATTGACTCTTGTTTCTTGTACAAAGGGAAAATTGTTGTAAAAAATCTTAGGTCTCAGTTAATGACCTAATAAAGTATTGCATTGAACCGAAATAAATAATGTCATTCTGAATAATAATAATAATAATAATAATAATAATAATAATAATAATAATAATAAAGAGAAGAGCGAGATTTAAGAAATGAAAAAAGTAAAGAAAAACAGCGTTTTTTCTTTTTTTTCTTTTCTTAACTCGCGCTCTTCTCTAAGTGTTGAAAAATATTGAAAGAGTTACGTCAATCATTTTGTTTTATAATAATAACAATAATAATAATAATAATAATAATAATAAACATTGTTTATATTAAATAAGTATTGTAGTACAGATTTCTAAAAACAAAGTGAGTTTTGTGACATTCGACTATCTGGAAGAATGGGTGACATAACAGAAAGAAATGATTATAGATGAATGTAACAAAACAAGAGGAGACCACTCTTGATTATGCATAACAGCTGTCTTTTTCTTTTCTTTATCTTTTCTTAAATCGAGTTCTGCCCGAAAAATGTTGAAAAATATTAGAAAACTTACGTCAAACATTTTGTTTAATAATAATAATAATAATAATAAAACTAGTATGAGTATGTGCTTTACAGAACAATTGAAGAAGTTGGAAAGCCCACAGTCTTCTGTGACCATGATTTTCAGACAGAGTGATACGCCATCACCGTCCAGATAATATTTTGCTAGATAAAGGCACCAAGGACTGCCATATTATTGATGTTGCCATAAAATATGGCACCAATATAGAAAAGAAGGTGATTGAGAAAATTACTGAAAATTGAGACGGCAAGATTGTTTGTAATTTAGCTAGTGAATGCCAACGTGATTCCAGTAATGACTGGCGCATTGGGGTCAATTCCATTAAAATTATCCTACTTCCTTGACCAGCTTGGAATACCATAGCAACTTAAGAGTCAGCTAAAAATCTGCTCTTTTGGGTACTGAGCATAATTTGAGGTAAGGGTTGTCTGTCTTAGATCCTTCTTGTGACTTCATAGATAACTTAATATAGCGGGCGTTTCAAGAACGTACATTGTTCGACAAATAATAATAATAATAATAATAATAATAATAATAATAATAATAATAATAATAATAATAAAGGTTATGTGTGATACGATTATCTTGAATGAAAAGCAATCGCAAGTGATATCACCGATGTACATAAGAGAAGTCATGAATGGATCCAGATAGATCTCGCGATAGGAGGCACGGTGGAGTAATGGATAACGGCTTGGATTGAGGAATTGGAGAACCGAGTTCGAATTCCAGTCGAATCCATTACATTCACTTACGCGCTAATACCCTTGGGAAGGTGTGAATCCTTTTCTTCTCCCCTTCTTATGGGCAAATAGCAGTACAGACTGGGTTCTATAGCCCTGGATGGCAACTGGTCTAAAAGAAGGAAAAAACTCTGAATTCAAAACCTGCTGAGGGTCGTTTGGGGACCTTGTGGCACGTAGTGCACCATGTCTCTATAATCGGCCCTTCAAAAAGTGTCTATGGTCCTGCACGAAACCTTCACCACTATAATCAAATCTCATGTACTATACATGCGGGTTGGAGACCACTTATGAATTTCAAATTCCCATGAAACTCAAATATTGGAGCCGGCTCAACCCACCTCGGGTGAATGCCGTTACAGGTAGCGGGGGTATCTCGCGATACCTTGGGATAATAACATCAAATGAATGTGCAGCAGGTAAAAATGCAGGTATACGAAAGAACCTGACATAGCAAATCAGAGAAATATACCAAACAGCGAGTCAAGTTATTCCTTTTCTGTTTGGCGCACTCGGAACTATTTCCAGGAATCTTTCTGTTACACAGCTCGATTTGGGGATACCTGACATCACTGGAAGCGCGCTGGTGGCTGTACTGCTTGGAACAGCTCATGTGTTGAGTAAAAGTTGCAGGTAGGAGCTGAGATATGATCATTATCACCCGGTCGAAAACATCTAAGAGTCGGAAAGGATATCAAATAAAAAAATAATGAAAATAATAATGCGTAAGTCCCGAAAGACGATATCAACGAGCTATACGCTAAGAGAAAGTAGAAAGGAAGAAAAAGAAAATGAAAAATATTAGGAAGAAAAAAAAAAAAAGAAAAAAAAGGAAGGATTGTGACGACATCCGGTGTTTTGTGTAACTGAAAACTATACATGGCGGGAAGGAATTGCTAACGAACAGCAACCAAAAACTGTCGTGCAACGAACAGAAAAACGACCAGGAATGCAGTAAACGCGAATTCAAGAATTGGAAGAAAAAGAAAATATGGAAGACAAAGTGGAGGAAGAGCAAATAAATCGACATGGATATAGCTACATAGAAGACATCTTAGGAGAGAGAACAAGTCACCAAAAACAACGCCATAAGAACCGCGTCTCAAAAGGCCAAGGTAAATAGGACACAAGAAAACAGGAAATGTTGACTCTGGAAATAAAGATGTGAAAGCATAATACGCAATCATCAAATGTAGCAAAATGGCTAAGAAAGAGTAAACATGATTGGGTAGGAAAGGTGATTCAATGGTAACTGTACAAGCGACTACATAACTTCACCTTTTTCGCTTTTCACAAGCTCATACGACATCATACAATAATTCTATACCTTGAGTGGCTCCTGTGCCTTGTATTGGGGGAAAATTATTCTATAAAAAAAATTGAATAGATCTGAAAGAAAGTAAAAAAATAGTTATATGTCTCGACCTTGCCAGGAAGCTGAAGGATTTGTAGGAAATAAAGATGACAGTTGTACCAGTCGTTAACGGAGCACTGAGAACAGGAAGAAGATTTGCTGCTATTCAGCTTATGGTATTACTGGAAACAGGTAGAATACAGAAAAGAATCCTTCAGTATTATGACGATTTTTATTGATTGATTCTTAATTACGGCTTATGAACCATTTTCAGGTTATTTAAAGCCATAAAATATATATAGAGTGTAAGAATTTATTGGGGGGATAATAATGATCTTACTGATAGAAGATTTACTAATTAACACATAACTGGGGACAAGAGGTAGATCCGTAATTTCCCAAGTGAATATAACGAACCCAATTGGAATTAGAACTCTACTCTCCGACTAACAATTCCAAGCGATTATCCACTACACCACTTGCACGTCCAAGCTTATATGACCTTGTATTACCAAGAAATCAACCATCTGTGTACTGATCAAGCTTGATATTGCTTAACTTCGATGATCGGACGAGAACCAGTGTTTCAACAAGATGTGACCTTAAGCCATACGACCACGCGCACATACAAGCTTACCGTACCTGATATTCTCAAGCTGTTATTCATCCTGCTACTGACCAAGCTTGACGTTGCTTAACTTCGGTGATCGTACGGGAACTTGTTTTTCAACATGATGTAGCCGTAAGCTATACCATCCGCACATACAAGCTTACAGTACCTGATGTTTCCAAGCGGACACTCATCTAGGTATTGACCAAGCTTGACATTGCTTAACTTTGGTGATCGGCCGAGAACCAGTGTTTCAGCTCGATGTGGCCGTAATCCTCTCACCTAATCTCCAATGGAGATCACAGTATTACTTTTACTGTCAAACACGGCTCTCATGTTAATGTAGACATGTTTAGTCTTGAAGTATTAAGAATGGCTTCAGTAAATATCCTGTTCAGTACTATAGATTTGATTTTCAGTTGCTTGACATTAACCTGTTGGGCATATCCCCTTGAGGCTGACGCAGTGTTTATCTCTGTTCATGAAAAGGAGTAGGAGAACATCAGGCCGGGTGATGTAGCCAGAGGGACGAGGCTTAATCGGGAAGAGTCAGAGAGGATTGAGTTACCATACTTGAAAATATATCGAATCGGGCCCCACTCGCAATGGTATGTGCACATTTGGCTGTGATGCAAGTACCAGGTATACTTTTATCAAACTACCGTAACCTTAAACCTATCCGTTCTAAGACAAGGGCAATTTTGAATCCCATACCGTGGAGAATGTAACGGAACGATAAACTGCTCCATTTATATATATATTTTTTAAATGAATTCATTCCAAGCAAATCGATAAAGCCACTAAGATACAAGGGGTTACTGAGAGCGAAAGAAACGGAGAAAACATTATTGAGGAGAAAGAAAATTAAAAGAATAGGATTCAAGGAAACAGACGATAATGATTGACACAGGATTTAAAATTTTGAATACCGTAGTTTACAGGAAACCAAGAAACCGGAAGAGAGTTTCACGAGCGAAAGAAGAAACTATTAGAATAGAACTTTCGGTTTCCTCTAGAAATTTCTACAGTAAAATGATGAGACCTAATTGCCATTTTAGTACTGCGCTTAAATTCGTGAAGATGAGCCTCCAAAGAGAAAATCTCATTCGAACAATTACCATGAAAATATTTATAGAAAAAAGCACAGAGAAACTGTACTCCGTTGATAGGAAAGTGATTGAAGCTGAGATGCCAGCTAGGGAACGATAATATTGCAGATTTTTCTTTGGCTTTAGTCATTTTAGAATCTCTGTATAAATACCAGGCACAATATCCAATGCAAAAATAAAAGGTAGACTTGTAAAGGTGTAAAATAGATTCTGCCGAGAAACATTGTCTAGCATGTCACATACGGTTAACTTTTCTAGGCATGCATAAAACTTCCCAGATAACAAAGACACTTATCGGTAGAGAGCCATGATCACCGACTTATTGAAAGGACACAGCTTTAAAAATAAAAGTTAAATATCAATTAACTGCAGAATTTGCGTCAGGCCCAATAACGGTGCGGATTCTTCTTGAGATTTTATCAAGGATCTCTAAATATATAACAGGAGAACAAGACCATATGTAGTAGCAATATTCTCAGTATGGACGAATGGTAGACTTATGAATATGTAAGATAAATTCTGAAGAGAACAGTTGTCTAGTACAATGCAGTAAAACAACTTTCGTGGCAGCAGATCTAGCAGTTGATTCAATAAAACAAATGTCTAAAGATACTAGAAAGAAGTACTGAAACGGTATCGACACGACTCACTAAGACAAATCTGTCCAAGTTACGAAACATAAAGTTTTATTTCAAAGGTTTTTTTAGAGCCTATACTTTTCAGTACCCACTTGCCTGTATATATATATATATATATATATATATATATATATATAAAGAATAATTTAAACAAATTTTGCCTACTTATTTTCAATAGAATCCTCCCATATTCACGGACAAGTTTCTAAGTATCCTTATTAAAGGAAGAGAGAAAATTACCATGTTGATACATATTTATTTATTCCGAGTACTTTCAACATTAGCACAATGTCATCATCAGCGTGTTGCTTTTTCTAAGACAAAATTGTTGTGTTCATTTTTCTAAGACAAAATTATTTATATAACCCGATATAAATATATATATATATATATATATATATATATATATATATATATATATATATATAATTTATGATAATACATCTTAACTAGATAGATAGATAGATAGATAGATAGATAGATAGATAGATAAATGATAGATAAACAGTATGGCCGCAGACGACATTGCATGGCGACTTGCAATTTCACGCAATTGAGGGAGATATGTGTAGATAGACACATTATTAGATGATGAGAATGAGAGAGAAAAAGAACGAAAAAAAGAAAGAGAAAGATGAATGAATAGTTAGATACAATATAAAATCAAGAGCGAGAAAGAGAGAGAGAGAGAGAGAGAGAGTGAGTAAGAGAGAGAGAGAAAAGTTGGGAGAAAGAATCGAATAAATAGATATATTATTAGAATAATGGAAAGAGAGAGAATAGATACTTTAGATCAAGATAGATAGAAATAAAGCTAAATGGGCAGATATATAAATTATTAGGATATATATATATATATATATTTAAGGATTGATATATATATATATTTTTGTATCAAGAGAGAGGGAGAGAAACAGAGAGGGGGTAACAAATAAATAAATAGACACATTATTAGATGAAGAGAGTGATAGATGATTAGACAGATCCATTATTACCTGAAGATAGGGTCAGATGAATAGACAGATTATAACACAAAAAGATAGAGAAATAAAGAGAGAGAGAGAGAGAGAGAGAGAGAGAGAGAGAGAGAGAGAGAGAGAGAGTGGGGGAGAGAGAGAAATGCAGATGGATGAATAGAAGATTATTAGATGGAGAGCGAGTGAGAAATAAATGGTTAGGTACATAGATTATCAGATCGAGAGAGAGAGAGAGAGGGGGGCTGAAGAGATTAAGAAATGAATGGCTATATATATATATATATATATATAGAGAGAGAGAGAGAGAGAGAGTGAGAGGGATCCAGATGTATAAATAGATAGATAACTTATTGAGAGAGAGAGAGAGAGAGAGAGAGAGAGAGAGAGAGAGAGAGAGATGAGGGAGAATAGAATTAAGAAATTTTGTCAATTATTAGATGGGTACAGTGGCTTTTATTATATTGATGTTCGGAAAGTTGGCTTTTAGTGTAGAACTTCCATGTTTGTGCGATATTATACTATTTAGCCATTAAATAAATGGTTAGTTTAACTGTGATTGTGATTATCAGATCAGAGTCTTGTTTGAGGAACGCAGAGAGAGAGAGAGAGAGAGAGTGTGTTGGTGGGGGTGTTTTTTCCGATAAAAGAAGATTAAGGAGGTGTATAAGAACTTAGCATTATCTTGAAACTAAAAAATTTGAATGGCTATATATATATATATATATATATATATATATATATATATATTTTTGGTCCATATATATATATTCATTTAAAATTAACATTAAAGTTTTAATAATTTAAGACAATGATTTAAAAAAATCCTTTACTAAGAGAGAGAACTTAACAATAACACTTTCATTAGAGACAAAACTAGCAAAATGTATAAAATAGATAGATATAAATATTGAGAGAGAGAGAGAAAAATGATAGTGAGACAACTAGAGAGACAAAAAATGATTTGCTGAGAGAGAGATTGACCCGGATGAATGATTAGACAGATAAAATTTAATAGCTTAGAAGATCAAAGGATTGCGAACATTAGGAGTTCAAATGCTCGCGTTTTGCGAACCTCATTGTATGATTTAGATTTATCCAGACGTAAAATCAAACACATTTAGATGAAGTGACTGAGAAATGAACAGGTAGATAGCTCATAAGATCAAAAAAAATAAATTAGAGAGATAAATATTTGTCAACTATTAACAATATAGAGAATTTACAAAGTTTTTTTGTAAATTATTTGTCTGTGTGTGAGTTGTGCTGAGATAAAGATCAGAGATTGATAGGGGTCAGAGATGAATTGAATAGACAGCTACATTGTTAGATGAAAAAGGCTCTTTATGCATGTTTCGTTAAAACGACAGAAAGAAAATTTTAAATAAATGAACAGTCAAGATTATAATATCGATGCAAAAATTGTCAGGTGAAAAATTAATGATTACAGAGATATATGATAACAGTGGCTCAAAGCGAATATTTAAACCAAAGAAAGAGAGAGAGAGAGAGAGAGAGATGCAGTATCCTGGCGGAATAAATAAAAACTATATTTTAGATATATTTTAAATAGAACATTTAAATAGATCCAACCAGAACTCATCCTCAGAATGAATTTTAAACAAATAATTAATCAATGGTTCATTATAAGATCAAAGTTATAAAAGAGAGATAAAAAAGAATAAATAGATAAAAAAAATCAAACTTATTTCTATTATAAAAAATTTAAGACGGCCAACCTTAAATAACACAACGAAGTAAATTATGGGTGCTAAAAAAGAAAGATAGAATTGGAAAGATGTAACGATTAAGGGATGGTTAGTGAAAATCTAAGAAAAGCCAACCTTAACAATATCATGAACAAAGCCATCAACAGTTTGCCAACCCACGCGTTTGTCGTCTTCGGTGTTGATTTTCTTGGAGTGAATTGCTTTTGTGAATGCAGTTGAATCTTTTCCATTCGAAGAAATAAGATTATGGAATGGTAGGGAATATTGCTCAGCTGGTAGACTTGGTGATTTCTTCATTGATTCTACAGGAAAATAACTTCAGAAACGTCACAGCAAATGAGAAGCAGTTGATGAAATATGTTTCGTTATTGGTGTCCAAATTTAGGGTAAAAACCATTTTCGAAACAAACTATTCTAGAGTCAGGAATATCAATATGTATCCAAACAAAAACTATAGTAGTATTTTAACACCAAAACTAAAAAACGTCAAGGAAAAAGATTTAAAAACAATTGATTGACTGAATTGTTTTTTATAGCTTATCAACCCTTTCCCGGTTATTTAAATCACGGAGACATTTTTAGATTGTAAGAATTTTTTAGTTAATAATGATTTAGTGATACAAGGTTTACTAATTAAACCAAAACTGAGGAGGGGGTGGATTCATACCTTCCCCAAGGGTATTTGCACGTAAGTGGATATAACGAGTCCAGGGGAAATGGAAACTCAGATCTCCGATAAACAAGCCCGAGCCATTATCCATTGCCCCACCCGTTCATCCAAGCTTACAGCGGTTGGCATTCCCAAGCGATTACTTATAGGG